CCCGTGGCTGCGGCACCCGGCGGACAATCGGCTCAGCTGCCGGTTGCCGAGTCGCCGGGCCGCCGGATACCGGGAGGAAAAATATGGCATTTTCTTACTTATTTTTTCAGGCTGTTTTCGCATATTTTTTGCGACCAAAAAGTTCCAAATTTCTCTCGTGATTGGGCGACGGATGTTAGTGGTCGATCGGGACGATCCCGGCGTCTTATTCCCCCACGGGGTGGGCGCCTCTGAGCGTCCGCTCGTACGCGCGTTCCTCGCCTCGACCACCACGACCAGCACGGAAGGCTCCAGCTTTATCTTCACCCCGATTCCTGGACGGTACATTGGCTCGCACACGTTGGAACACGCCTTGAACGTTCGACAAGACCCTTGATAACGCCTCTGTGAACGACGTGAAGACCCGGGTCTTTTGCTTGACATCCGCTCTCCCGTAAACGACGTCGAAGACTTGCTTCAGCCTGCTCTGCGCGCAGTCGTGGCGTCTTCTGTGAGAGCCAGCTTCCAACAATGTCGCTTCTAGATTGTCTCGCTGCCGCTTCGCATCCCACACACTTCCTTTTTGTGCACTGTTTTCGCAACGTTGCGCTTGGCGATGGAGCCAGCCTTGACGTGAGTTTCCGTGTCACGTCTCGAGAAAGCTATTCTGTCGTCCTCTATGGACTCTCACGATCCTTCCGTTGATCGTCACTTTGCTTCCGTGAGGCGAGCAAGCTGGCAGTGATCTATGGCGACCACATATATCGCTCGGGCCCATGGCTGGAAGACAAGACGCAAGAGAGCGGGAGGCTCGTCATTAACCCTCTCTAACCAATGCACAATTGGCGTCTGGTGTCCATTCATGGGCTGAGGGTATCTCCTCGGACGCAGTTCCTGGAGCCATCCGTGCGCTTCGTGCATATCATCGGCCATCCGACACTGTTCGCGAAGCCGTACAGCAGTGAGAACTCTGTTCTGATCCAGTGGGCTGGAGCTTGTTCAGATGTCCAATGAAACCGATCGTAAGCTATGCAGACCGAATGAGTCTCGCGTGGCATGGGAGTGATTGAAACAAACCAATTCATTCTACGCGGACTCGTGAGTGCCATAGCCAGTTTGAACGTTCAGAGCGTGGCAGATGACCTTGGTGCACAGCGAGACGGCCCCTATCGCCCTTGCCGCATGATTGGCTACAGGGTCGCATGTACCTCCGAGCGCTCTTGAGCCGCTCAAGAGCTTCTCGGTGACGTTCGGTCACTTCTCGTCCACACAAAGGCTCAGATACACCTCGGCAGTACCCCACACCCTTGGCCGAGTACTGGTCAGTGACTATGAATAAGTTGTACTCAGCTGACCTCAATGAAACATACCTAGCTTGGTTGTGCAGAGGGGTGGATGCTCCGTGCACACGAGACGGTTTCATATACTTAGGACGCAGCTGTGGAGCCCGTTTGGTCGCGCTCTCTGACCCATTCCCATGGACAAGGGTCAGCTGCGTACCAACCCTATCTTTTCATCAACACTTGCCAATTATGGCCCAACGATCCACTCTACCAGTGTTTCCTCGCTCCGGCCAGCTGACATTCAGTTTCACGCTATCTCTATCCCAAACGTATCCAGGGAAGCCGAGCTATCCGGGACGGTCTTGTACTGTTTATCCGCCGGACTGGACAGATGCAGTATAAATACCGTTCGCAGCCCTGGCGTACTTCCCCAAGCATACCGCGAGGTCTATTGCTTTTTCTCAACACTTGCCTCTCTTCGCATCTATTACTATCATGGGTCATCCCGAAGAGGTCGATGTCGTCGTATGCGGGTACGTCATATCCTTACCTCTGCTGTTTTCATATCGCTGACTCTGTTTGCAGTGGTGGTCCCGCAGGATGCGTTGTGGCGGGCAGGCTCGCATTCGCTGACCCTACTCTCAAGGTCATGCTCATCGAAGGTAACGCCTTGGTCATTGTCGCGTACGTTCATGGGGTGTTAACGTTATTGCCGGCCAGGTGGTGCGAACAACCGCGACGACCCTTGGGTGTACCGCCCCGGTATCTATGTTCGCAACATGCAGAGAAACGGCATCAACGACAAGGCAACGTTCTACACCGACAGCATGGCTTCCTCACACCTCCGGGGTCGTTGCAGCATTGTTCCCTGCGCGAACATCCTCGGTGGCGGTTCCAGTATCAACTTCCAGATGTATACCCGTGCCTCGGCGTCGGACTGGGACGACTTTAAGACCGAGGGGTGGACTGCCAAGGGTATGTATGTTCTCGCAGCCATCCTTCGAGATATTTTGTTGACGTGCGCTTTCTAGATCTCCTGCCGCTCATGAAGAGGCTCGAGAACTACCAGAAGCCATGCAATAACGACACCCACGGCTACGACGGCCCGATTGCCATCTCGAACGGTGGGCAAGTTATGCCAGTCGCCCAGGACTTCTTGAGGGCCTCCCATGCTATTGGTGTGCCATACAGCGGTGAGCATGATACTCTCCGCGCATACTTGGCTACATGCTGATTTCCTGCAGATGATATCCAGGATCTCAAGACAGCCCATGCTGCTGAGATCTGGGCCAAGTACATCAACCGTCACACTGGTCGCCGCAGCGACGCCGCTACTGCGTACGTTCACTCCGTCATGGATGTCCAGGACAACCTCTTCCTCCGTTGCAACGCTCGCGTCAACCGCGTCCTCTTCGACGACAATAACAAAGCCGTCGGCGTTGCCTACGTTCCCTCCCGCAACCGCACCCATGGCGGTCAGCTCCAGGAGACCATTGTAAGCATCAGGCACTTCGCTGCCCCCGAGCACTGCTCACCATAGTTGTACGCTATAGGTCAAGGCGCGCAAGATGGTTGTCCTCAGCTCTGGTACTCTGGGTACACCTCAGATCCTTGAGCGCTCCGGTGTCGGCAGCGGCGAGCTCCTTCGTCAACTCGGCATCAAGGTCGTCAGCGACCTCCCGGGCGTCGGCGAAGAGTACCAGGACCACTACACTACTCTTTCTAGTAGATATCTCCTTCCCTTAATTTCACGCTTCGGTTATACTGATATCTTTCGTAGTTTACCGTGTCTCCAACGAGACCATCACTACCGACGACTTCCTCCGTGGCGTGGAAGAAGTGCAGCGTGAGATATTCCAGGAGTGGGAGGTCTCACCAGAGAAGGCCCGCCTTTCGTCCAACGCTATCGATGCTGGCTTCAAGATTCGTCCGACCGAAGAGGAGTTGAAGAGCATGGGCCCGGAGTTCAACGAGCTTTGGGACCGCTACTTCAAAGACAAGCCCGACAAGCCCGTCATGTTCGGCTCCATCGTTGGCGGTGCCTACGCCGACCACACCCTGCTGCCACCTGGCAAGTACATAACCATGTTCCAGTACCTCGAGTACCCGGCGTCTCGTGGGAAGGTCGGTCGTCTCAACTTCTGCCACGTAGATGATTTGCTCACGAAGCTTCTGTAGATCCACATCAAGTCGTCGAACCCGTACACCGAACCCTTCTTCGACTCGGGCTTCATGAACAACAAGGCCGACTTCGCTCCCATCCGCTGGAGCTACAAGAAGACCCGTGAGGTCGCGCGCCGTATGGATGGTAAGCGATGTCTCTTCTGACGATCACACATCGTTTCTCACGTGCTGTGCTCATAGCCTTCCGTGGCGAGCTTATATCGCACCACCCGCACTTCCACCCAGCTTCGCCCGCAGCGTGCAGGGACATCGACATCGAGACCGCGAAGCAGATTTTGCCCAATGGCCTCACCGTTGGCATCCACATGGGCTCGTGGCACCAGGCTACTGAGCCGTTCAACGCCAATAAAGTACACGAGGACATCCAATACACCTCTAAGGACGACGAGGCCATCGACGACTGGGTCGCTGACCATGTGGAGACCACCTGGCACTCGCTCGGTGAGTGTCTCTTGTGACTTTCATGTGAAGGCACTCCCTAACAGGGCGCGCACACAGGTACCTGCGCCATGAAGCCCCGCGAGCAGGGCGGCGTCCTCGACAAGCGCCTTAACGTCTTTGGCACTGAGAACCTCAAGTGTGTCGACCTCTCCATCTGCCCCGTGAGTGCCTTATTTTTTCTGCGTACGCTTGCGGCCGCTCATCGTACTGTTTTCAGGACAACCTTGGCACCAACACCTACTCGTCTGCCCTCCTCGTCGGTGAGAAGGGCGCCGCCCTCATCGCTGAGGAGCTCGGCATCAAGATCAAGACGCCGCATGCGCCTGTTCCGCACGCGCCCGTCCCGGCTGGCCGCCCTGCCACCCAGCTCGCCCGGTGAAGTCGCTCCTGATGTCAGGTACATGGTGGTGTCGGAACAAGGTTAAGCTCATCGCTTGGAATTATTATGATGTTGTACCATTAGCAAGGCTTGTAACATTATCACTCGGAATCACAATGTACATTCTAGCATGCATCTGGCGTGTGCGCTGTGAAGGTCCGAGTCTGCATGGGTTGATTGGAGCGAAAATGCCGTCATGAGCGAGGGCATGTCATGCGTAGTTCATACCTTGGGAATAGGTGCAACTAAGGAACACATTGGCCAGTGGGGAGACACTTTGAACGTTTATAGAGCGCGATCAGCGACAATCCCGTTTATTGAAACCTGGGGTGGCCTTGCAAGGAGTCTGTATTTCTCCAGATCTCAGGGTCTCTATATGTTTATCAGTGCATAGCCCAAGACAAAGCCCGTGAACAGATCCAGCGAACATATCGTCAGACAATAAACTCACGAAGGTGGTGACTCGGCTGGGATGTTACAGCATTGCATAAATCCCTAAATGAGCGCGTAGTTAGCCTCGTTTTTTGACGCCATGGTTTGCTCAGGATCCCCGCAGTTCAAGTTACGGTCTAGTAGCGCCAGCGTGCCGTCTTCGTTATCTGAGGTCGAGAACAGGGTGTTCAGGTATCCTATCACAACTTCATCGCCTGCATGCAGCTGTCACCGGTCAGATATCACTTTTAATTCGCCCCAGCTTAACCACCCCACTTTTGAGTCAATTGCAAGCAGCTGAGGAGAGCTGAAGGTGGTGGTGACTCGACTCAAATCGGGTAGACCTACGGGCCACGGGGATGCGGAGAGCTGTAGGCCCTAGAGGATGTACAAGGCTATACTGTTTCTGTAGAAGACCTCATTTATAGAGATGTACCAATGAAATAGATATGCGCCTCGACGGATACATGCCCCGAAGGCCAGCCTCGAGTGATAAGACGCCCGGCGACTGGCATAGAGATTTATCCGAAATTTCCCCGAGCATTTAATCACTCCCGTCATAACGACCTCGCTCAGGAATGTCTTAGTGGAATGGCTGGAATTGTGCAAGAAAACCTCTGGTAGGATATTGGAAACACCACTGTGCGACATTTGGATTGAAACTACAGACGATAGACACGGAGGAGCAAGCGCCACAATCGCTGGTGCCACTGTAACTTCACCTTGACCCTTGGCTATGTGCGGTCTGCAGATAATACCGTACGTAAAGGCTGTATATCAGCTGACTTCGTAGAAAAGCTGAGTCAGGAATACCGTGCTCAGAATCTTTCGAAGCTGTCATTGCCTCACGTCCGATGACTTGATGCCTTCCGAACATTCAAGTTCAGAGCGTTCAACAATGAGATGCATTTCATGCTTCCGCCTATGAGAAGCATCACAAAAACTCACTAAGCAGATATAAACTGTTCCCATGTGGTAAAGGAGGGAATTAGCTCGACCTGCTGTATTGTATGCAACGACCCTGGGATGCTCAGACCGTGGCTCGCTGATATGCTCCGGCGCGGCTTGGCTAACTATGGCATGGGCACGAATGGCGTATAAAAACACTGCAACTCGCAGTAAAAATCCTATCAACATCCTGTTAGACAAAAGCCAGGTAGAAATCTGTATTTTCGGTATACAACCATTCGAAGAGGAAGCATTGTGGCACGCGCATTTATATTGCTCGGCCGCACCGTGTTGAGCGGCTTAACATATTCAGGTTTCTGGGTGTTTCTGGCAGCCTGATACTGTGCTTTGATCGGCCTTAAACCGAAGAAAGCTTCCATCGACTGAGCGATGGACAGATGGAGAAGATAATGCGCAGCTCTCATTACGGTGTCCTGAAGTCATGCTGCCGCATGTTGCTGGCACCTGCGCGGCATCTGACCTCCGAGAGCGTTTGCTTACAAAGTCTTAGAGGGCTTACCGTGTCGTCATCCATCCTCGGGCCTGATCTGTCCTCTGTACAGCATATAAGGAACCGGTGGGCACAATCGTTTCGCAACCCTCTTTCTCAGACCGAATGAGCTTGAGGACCTCTTCGCTACTAGGTACTCTCAACGCCTATAAATCCTCGCTAGCATAAGAAGACTGACCATTTTCACGGCCCTTCCGTCTGCGGACGACCATCCCATGTAGGATCACAAGCCGTTGCAGGCGGGCACTCATCGAGATCGTACTAATGGTATGTCGTTCCTGGCTCTTGGGAGTCGGTGTATATCTCGATGTCTGCTTGGGCGAACTTGATACATGGTAGAGGTCACTAGTTGTCGGCATACATGACAAGACGATAGTCGCACTAGCCATACACTCACGGCTCTTTCATATTCTTGTGCCGATGATGAGATAGTATAATTGTCCTCGTCATCGTCCAGCCTCAAATACGATCGTTACCGGACCACTGCGAGATATCTCCCGTAGTGGTTCGGTAACGATTTAGTATCTACTTGCATCATGATGTTACGGTCCCTGGTGGATATACAACATCTACAAATTTTCTAGCACTCCAGTACTTGCGCATGCATATTGACTGTTAGCACATACTCATGATCAGTACCCCAAGAAATACCAGTTATCATTCCCTCGCATGCGACCAACGAACGTCGAAAGGAAGTGTTGATATACTAGGAGACGCTAGCAACTTGAAAGACTCGCAGATCGAGGATGTCATGATGTCGGATGAATCGCGGGGCAACTATGTGGGTCCTTGTGGATGCTCACTGCCTCGGCTATTCAAGTGCGTATCGGTGCGGCTTTCTTCTCTTCTCTATCCTCTACGCTCGACGACCACCTTTCTTCAAGCCTTCACCGGGCTATCAGTCGTACTATCACTGCACCGTTATTGCCTTCGCAATGTCTCCCACCTCTACTGAAACCGTCGATCTCTGCCTTGCTTGTTCCTCATCTCTACCTCCTCGCCGGTCCTCTGCGAGCAAATCCTGTAGCCCGGACATCTTCGTGACCCAATGTTGCGGCAGACCGATATGTCCCGCATGCATATCTAAGAGTCCCCGCCTCGCTAGATACAATCCGTGCCTTCGCTGCCCCGGCGGGGTCGGTGTTGTGAATGCCCGCTCCCGCGCCGGCTCTGCACAAGTGGCGGCCAAACCGCAGAACATTGACGGAGGGCTTCACGACGACGAAGTATACGCTATTGGGGATGATGATGAGGACGAGGACGAGGAAGGCGAGCTCGGGGCTGTTCCAGGGGAAACCTTTCCGTCGACACCCCCTACTCCACCTCCCGTTTACACGGAACTCGACGAAGCAGCACCTCAAGATGCGGATACACAAGAGAGCGGTCTTGAGTGCGTCCGAAAGTCTGACAAAGAAAACGAAGACACAACAGAAGCGTCGGGCTCTGCTCCTTCGGTATATTACATACAGTCCAAGGATACGCTAGTCGGGATTGCCCTGAGGTTTGGTGTTGACGTGAGTGGTGCACCCTACTCTGTCATCGTATCGCCCTTACGTCTCACGCTAGGGTCGCCTCTTATGCCGTCTAAATAACTTGCCTCCAAGCACTCTGCGCATAACCCCTCATTTGCTCCACACACGCACGGTGCTTCAGCTGCCGCCATCTGCTCGTACGTTAGCACCCTCTACACCTCCGAGCGATCAAATAGACCCAGACTACGAGACCCGCAGAGCTCGAGAGAGGGCAGAGAAGCGCTTTCAGACCGTCATGAAAGAGACAGACTGGCGAATAGCAAAGGCTTACGTCACCCTTGCTGAAGATGGAGATCCGTCTTCGCTTAGTAAGGAAGACACGCGCAAGAAGGCGCAGCAGGATACTTCTGTAGAGGGGCGTGCCATGGACCAGTACTTAGATGACAATGAATGGGAGGCGCAGCAGCGGAGGGAAAGTCGAAGAGTGCACATACCTCCCTTCCCTTATAACCCTCAGTCGAATACGGGGAAGGGCAAGTCCTCTGAAGCGTCCTTCTCGCGGTGGCGATGGCGATGAGAGATCGCTGCGCCAAACGGAGTATCGTAGTCCATATCGCTTTCATTGGCTCTTATCTTCGTACATTATGTCCACATCCATCTTACAATCTTGGAGTTTAAGTAGCACTGCCAAAAATTTGGTATCTCCTGCAGATGCTAGGTCCAATCTCGTCATATTGGGCCTTGGTGTGGCAGGAAGAATAAAACTCGGGCTGACGATGATGTCCCATCAGGCTGCTATTGAATGCAAGACTGAAGATGAGACAACTTACCAGAGAAGCGAGTAGTGATCCACCAAACCAGACGGCGTATCGCTGGCGCTTGTGCGAGATGACTTCAACCTCGACACCTGAAGACTGTAAAGCGCGGGTGAGAAGTCGACCGACGCAGCCACAAGAAACGCGACTTACCCTAGCTTGCCTGCCGCTAGTAAGGGCGGCAGCCTCTAGTCGGCCGTCAACAATTTGCTTCAGGTCGCGCTTCAAGCGTTGACCGAAATGCTGGAACATGGTAGAACCTCCTGAAAGCACGATGTTCTGGGCCGGGGTTGAGTAAGAGCGCGGAAGCCATAATACACACGCACCTTATAGAGACCACGTCGGACGTCGATTGGTGACTGTTGGATGACACTGTCAACAATCTCGGGAAGTGGTGTCAAGAAGTCAGACGAGTTGATCTCAGGGTTGAAGAAGATCTCGGGCGCGAGGAAACGTTCGTAGCCGACATCCACGGAGTATGTCTGTGTGCGATGCCGATTGGTATGACAAGTGAAGGAAACGTACGGTGATACCCACCTTCTTTGTGACGCTGTATTCATCTTCGTAGCGCTCGAAAAACTTGTACGGCTCGGCATCGTACTTCCGGAATTCCTTGACAATGTCCTGGCATACGTAGCTGTAGTTCTCTTTCACTTTGGACGCGACTTTTAAGTGCTCCTCGGGCGGGACATTGGCCATCTCTCCACGCTCTCGCATAAGGTTGAGCACAAATTGCGTGATGTCGCGACCGGCGATGGGTATGTGCTTGATGGCACTGCCGATAACATAGCCTTCTGCACAGGGGATGACGTGGGTGACACCATCTCCAGAGTCAATAACAGTTCCAGTAAGTGTACGGTCGGAGACACGGTTAGATGTCCAGGACGCGGCCAAAGCGAGGACGGCTTGGACGGCGATGTAGAGACCCTTGATATTGAAAGACTCGAAGAAGATCTCCGCGGTCTGTTCTCGGTTTTCCGGAGGGTTGAGAGGGGGCTCAGTCTGTGCAAGGCGATGTACTTAGTGATATGCCAATCCAAAGACAATAGCGACGCACCAGGAGGAAATAGTGATCTTCCGGCTCAGCCCTCAAGTACTTGAAGATCGTTTGCTCCCAGTACCGCTCCATGTGGTCCCAGTTTTCAATCTGGCCATGTCTAATCGGGTAGTTGATGCCGTATCCTGGGGTCTTTGCGTTCGCAAGTGCCTCATCGCCGATAAAGAAATCAAGGTCTTCGACTCCTCTCTTCGATGCTAGGTTCCCTGGTTTCGAAGGCACGGGCGGGCCCCCGCGAGTCGTCTGAGTAGCAGGACCGCGGGTAGCGATAGCAGTAGGGAATACACTTTGTGTCGATCAGTCGTGCGCTCACGCCGGAGGGGAACAGCTGCACTCACAAGGATGGGTCGGAGTTACCAGCAAACCTGCCGCTTGCATAAGCGCGACGCGTAGCACAGAGCGGACACACACATACCCGACTTTCGAGAACCCTGTTCCATTGTCGCAGATGATGGGGGCGAGGAGCGACATGGTGCGAGTGTAGCAGCTCGCTCGTTGTGGCTTGCTGTAGCTGGCTGCAAGATGCTGCGAGATGCTGCGACGCCCAAAGAGACGCCAGCGGTGGTATGTGACGCTGTTTGGCAAGAGCCTCTGAACACGGACAAATACAGGCGCCTGCCGATTTTGTGTCGTGCGCAATTTAGTCAGGTTCACCTCAGTCACCATGAACTCTCAGAACGGTCCGGGCAGCTACGGCTCAGGAGCAGGAAACTTTGGCGCGCCGAGGCAGGACATGGAGTATCTCTGTGCGGGTGTGTCTCATTCCAACTTCGCGGCTCTGCTCTGGCTTAACCCGTGCTCGCAGATTGTGGTGCTAAAAACGAAATCAAGTCGCGAGAGCCCATTCGCTGCAGAGAGTGCGGACACCGTATAATGTATAAGAAGAGAACAAGGCGAAGTGCGTAACCGCTATGTGCCCTCGAAATTTGCTCTCATCTCCTTGCAGTGGTCCAGTTCGAGGCTCGGTGACACCGCTTGCAAATTAAACATCTTGCCCCGCTGCATCATGCTTATGCCATCCTCGAAAGTATTATTGTACGGACAGGGACGTTCTAGTGCGCAATATTAACCATCTGAGTCCCTTTAAAGATTTCACATACTCAAGTCGCAGGCTTGGTGCGCTGCAAGCAATTCACCATTGCGGGAGAATGTCATGGCTACTCTTCGGTCCTCCGATTGTACACAAGCAGCAGCTCATTGCGATTTGAAGCATTCGCTAGATTATCTCGGAGAGCTCGTTGCTCAAACAGCACTATTATCGTTACTAAATACACGGGACGAGTCATCTGCGTCTATAGGCTTTGGCTCGCACTCAGACTCTCGTCCGTAGTCCTTATTCGATCCATTGCCTAACGACGCGAATCATCAGTGTTCAGTCAACTCTGCGGTACATGTAATGTTACCTGTTGCAGTAGGTCGGCAGGAATTGACGGTAACGTCTCTTCAGGCTCGTTGTTCCACGGCAGGATTTCATATCGTGTCGGCGGATTCTGCATTGCGGGACACACATCGGATGGAAGATGATCACCGTGCATCTCGTTAAATTGCTCTCTTCGCTGTCTTTCCTCTAAAGCAGGCCAGTCAGCGTTTCAATAACGATGTTGCGCAGTCATACCATCGGTTAAAGCTTCCAGCTGCAACGTCATACTCTGGACGATCTTCGCTGCGGCTTCTGCATACTCTCGTCGACGCGCCAACTCTACGACCAGCTTGCAGTACGAGTATTGATACATAGTGTAACGAGCATGAAGGTCATCAATTACGCCGAGGTTAGTGTGCAGCAGCGCTAGATGGTCAACAAACTCGTTCTACCAGAGCTCCGTGAACGTGAGAACATAAGAGCAAGGTGATACATGTTCGCACCTCTGCCGCCTGCTGGCGCTCCAGCATTTCGGCCATGATATCCCCAAGATCATCTAAGTCGTCTAGGGCCGCTCTGTGAGAGCCAAGCTGTTCTTCTGCAATGCGTTTCGCGGAGAGCAACTGTTCGCTGTGAATATGGCTGTGTTAGCCAGGCTACAAAGTACAACTACACGGCGCCGTACTGAGAAGCACTTATAGCAGCGCCGCTCTTCTCGAGGTCCTTGATGATGTTCGGGAGCTCTTCCGTATCACGTTTAATCTCTTGGAGCGCGTTAGCTATGGGCAATGCTGGGCAGTGAAAGGTATGAACGTACCTTGTATATCCGCCTCGCTAAAGACCTCACCAGCTTCACTTTCGTGCAAAGCCTGCACCATCTGATCGTAATGTCGAGTCAGGCTAGAGAGGTGATTGGCCATATCCATAGAAATTGTCTCCTGAGACGAGAAAATATCATCCATAGGGGGTATGATGATTTCCGAGGGTAACGAGGACCGAACGGCGGTTATCGTACCGTTGAGTGATTCGGGATAGTCTGACGTCTTTGCCAGAATGTCCTGTAGATTTTGGTTAATCACAACTAGATGCGTAGGTACAAGAACATACATCTAATACACTCCGTTCAGACTCGATGTTCTCCAGCAAGTCTTCTATAGACCGTTCGTCCACGAAGTCACGCAATGTCTTCCACCTCGTTCGGTCAGATTCACGCTGCCTGCCCTTCGAGTTGCGCATGCTGTGGCATAGCACGTCGCGCAAGGTCTCAGTGGGACTTTGCCCGGGTTTGAAATACGCCTTTGTCTGTTCTGTCTCGTCTTCGGAAGCGTTCTGGCTGCCGAAGAGCGACGACACGGGAGAGGTAGAATGGAAGTCCGGTGGAACGACTTGCGAGCCGAGCGAGTCCAGAATAGCATCAAGGGCACCCGTATGTTGTTTCCTAATATCGTCCCACTCCTATGGCAGCCATGTGTACAGAGCAGGCACGGGGGTGACTCAACTACATACCTTGGCCTGGGTCTCAAGCTGCACACGTTTCTGCTCGATAATCTTGGCCACACCAGCGGCAAGCTGCGATGCGCCACACCTGGTCAGTCTTCGCATCCAATGCACAGCTTGAGGAGCGCACCTTCAGCTGTTCCAAGACCGCGTCGGTCATCCAACGCACTTTCGCATCGAGCGCGAGCACATCTACTGCAATCTGTGCAGATTGCATGGACACCGTACGCGCGTTGGCGCATAGCTGCTCGCCCTGTTGCAACGCCTTCTTCGACTGCAGGACAAGCGAAACAAGGTGCGGTTCTTCGTGACGTGCATCTGCCATGTTCCTAGTGCAGGAAAGTGGGAAACGTATTCACAATCCACTAAGAAGGCGTCGACGAGCAGGCCAGCGGGGTACAGGTTCCAGCGAGCTTCAGGAAAGGTGCTTCGGAGCACGATGCATATGGGCGAAGGCGGCAGGCTTTGAGCGTCTACGCTTTCCTGGACTCACTCCGTAAGCGCCAGGAGTGGTGGGGCTTTGGCTTCAGATCGCTCTTTGACATGTTCCTCTTCTCCTAGTTCTCCGGCCACCAGCAACATCCCACATTTGAACAAGATGAGAGCGCCTTCCTGTTTGGCGACCTATCGCAGTGGCTCTCGCGCTGTTACTCGAAGTGCGAGGCTCCCCTTGAGAGTTGGCTACATGCAAGCCATCCGGAACGTACGTGGAGTTTCGAGCTTAGCAGAGACTCGATGTGCCTCCTGAATAGCTACGCCTCAGATGTCGAACAAAAGCAACACGCCTAGTTCTGCTGTCCAAGTTCCCTACCCGGAGCGCGTAGCTCCCACCGCACTAATCCAGCAACACCTCAAGAAGCCCCTCAGTGTTGCGGAGCGTGATGCGATGATAATAAGTGCCTGGAAAGACCATGAAGGTAGCCTTTCGAACGCAGAGTTTGAGGACGGTCTATTGGAGCACGGTCTTCGGCGTGGCGTGGTGAGTGGGAAATGATATGTCTCGCTCGCATTCCTCGCTTACTAGTGCATTGCCCAGAAAGCGAACATTTTCCGCGTCATCTAGCATCAAGTACCCCTGTATCATCATATGTACCTCTAGGTAATACAACGTCGATTTTCTCTTCCTCCTCTTCTACCGTCTCTGCGCTTTGACATGAGCATGACGAGCGTGTCCTGGGTCTCCATCGCGTCTTAACAGTCACTTCTCTCTCTATATCGCGTTTCATCCCGACAGGACTGTGGTGAAGCACTTTATCTCCCCAGAAAGACAGACAAGATACGGTTTACGACAGATCAAGATGGACTTCAGACTTCCATGGTCGTAGGGGACATATGCTGTACGATGAACTGCCGTGGTGTCGCCACGCATATACCCCCGGCAGCGAAATGATGGTAGGCTTTTCTCACTTCAGCCAAGTATGACGTCTCTTAAATCCAGCGGGCAGGTGTAGCAAATTGGACATTCGCGCGAGTGCCGTTGACACGCTATTCCGCTTTACGTACAGGTCAAGCTTACCTGTCTCGCGAATCCCCCGTACGGAAGGTTGCTACCACATCATCAACGATTAGTTGCATCTTCAAGCAACCAACGATCGTGGCCAGCGAGTAATGGTGACCGATGTTCAGTATATGGCTGCACGATGACCTGCTGGTGAATACCTGGTACATTCATCTCTCTGTGTGGGCAGGCGTTGCAAAGTTATATTCTATGCTGTTTGTCTCGGGAAATGCGCTAACAGAATTGACACAATCCCGCTGTTCCTCACCAACGAGGGACTTCGAGAAAGCTCTTGACGCCTAGGTTGGCGAATATTCAAAGGGTAGGAAGAGTACTAGCTGACGAGTATCCAGACTCTGACAAGGACTGGTAATATAACACTCTGAACATGAACCGCGACACGGTGCCTCTTTGCGCCAACTGCGCGCAATAATCGCGTAGAGTCACAGATGTGACAGGCCGTGCATCTCATTAGTGTGCCATTTCAGCGCCAACTCCTAAACCTTTCCTTCCTCCCTCAGCCGTCGCCATATTACAATGGCGTCTGATTCTTTGTTCCTGTCTTTGCTAATGTCCGAAGATGCTTATGCAGACTACAAGCGACGTCTGGGAGATGCCCCTAGCTTCCGATCTGGCGGACGTGACTCTCCCAAAATTAGGGTCACTGGATACAATATAGAAGCCATAGAAGCCATCGTCGCTGCTAACAACGATGAGAGTGACTCTATCGAGGTCGAATGGGATGCTGTCGACAGTGTGGTATGATATCGCTGCAATGCTTGCTATGTTCTACTTTCGCTCATGTTGAACTTGCAGAAGTGGATCATGCAGCGCGTCGCTGACAAGCTTCGTATTCCTCTATACCGTTGGGTAAGCTTCACATCCTGATGGCTTCAAGTGACATTGAATCACCTTCGTATGAAGGTTCTGGCCGGAAGGGGACATGTCCTCAGCCCCGGCCTAATCGTAGCAGGCCACGAGCTTTTTAATTCAAGCGCCTCCTCGAGTGGCACTGTCGGTAAGGACTTATCCTCCTTCTCTTGCCCTAAAATTTATGCACATTGTCATATACGCAGAGCTAGTACTAGTTCCCATAGAAGCAGTAGGCCAGTACGAGGAGGAAAACCCTCCCCCGGAACCTGAGAAGTACGCTTGGCGGCATCTTGAACCTGGCCAAACGGAGTCAGCAGACTTCATGGAGAAGGCGAAAGCTGCGTACCACCTTATAGATCCTGCAGCAGCTCCTGAGTGGGGGATGTACCTTACTCAACGAGCAGCTGCCGAGTCTTCTCTAGAGGAGCTGCTGGATCCATACAACGTCGACGAGATCGAGCGTCTTGTGACGCAGATCAAGAATAGCGTCGAAGACATCGTCGGAGAATTTGACCTCGAGGAGACTGAGCAACTTGCAATCGCAGACTGTGTGGTTCCCCTGGGTATTGACACGGAGGACGCCGGCGATATTGCTGTAAGTGCTCTTGCACGACATAATTCATTAATTCTCAATGCTTGGTAGCCTCGGTCAGCAACAGTGTTCACGCGCATCTACTCGCCAGATCGTCCAGCGGCAGTAGATGTCTAGTTCACCTATTGGCACCGTACTCGCTGGGAATCGGTGGAGTTCAGCTGCTCGGTGCTTTTTCGTGTCGCAAATCCCCTTGCCGAAGCCGAGCTCTCATCCACGTCGGACCCTCTGGAATACGACAGTCGCATTGCGCGTGGCTGGACCCGCATGTTTAGGATGGCGCTTGACAGTAATCCACCTGGGCGCCGCTGGTATCCCAAGCCTCTGCGTGAGTGGGGCATGCGCGTATCGCATGTCAACAGAATACATGCCGCGCTCTTCGGACAGCAAGGACGACTGGCAACTGCAGTGGAGAAGATTGACACTGTACGCTTCATGCTCGCTAGCGTTGGTGTCATGTTTGACGTTGCGCGTGAGGAAGAAGACAACGACAAGCAGAACACAGATGGAGGCAGAAGCATTACATGGGAGTGCTTCGAAGATGAGTGGATTGGTTTGAACGTTCGTGACGCATGCGGTGTGCCGCTGGACAGGGACGCGGACTGGGGGCCGCCTGCCGATGAAGATCCTCATGATGGAGATGAATACGGAGACTCGGAGGATGAAGAGTTCGACGAGTTTGGCGAAGATGGTTGCCGGCACCAGTAAGTCAACTCGGATCAGTGGCTATCGGTCTGGTATACATTCTACTTTCGTATTGCCGAACTCTCGTAGTCTGTTGCTATCGATATGGCTCCGTGACGTGAATTCTGTAGACAACAGGAAACTGTTGTACTGTACTTTTACGACCGTAGCGGATGTCACATGTCACAGGGCCCTCGTTATTTCGCCTCTGTCACATGTCACAGAGGGGTCCATCCGGTTGCGACACTCGAGATTTGTCACGAAGAAGAAGTCGCATCTTTTCAGGCCTGCGGCACTCTGTAATACTGTAGAATGTATTATCATATCAATAATGCCACCCAGATAAAATACTGTAGCCGTGCTCGGTCGTCCATTAGCCGGCGGATGTCACAGGTCACCATGGACCCATCCGTTCATCCGGTTGTGCGCCTGTGTCACAGTCACAAGGCCATCCGCTATGGTCATAAAAGTGCAGTACCTTAGTAAAGTGGCACTACATACTTGCACAATGGCATGCTACATAGCAATATCTGATGTCCAAACTCCACCACTTCTGATGTCAATGTCTTACTCAGAAGTGAGGCAGACTCACAGAGACACCGGAAACCCCATACTGCCACAAAACACTGATTAGTGCCTGGCCGGTCCAACTCAAGCTCAGCAAAGTGCTATGCTATCTGACTGGCAATGATTTGATAGTATGAGATGTGAAGAATGTCACTATAATGTGAGCAATAAGTGGTCTTGAACTAACAGGCTAATAGGACATCAAAAATGCAAACAAAGCAAGTCTGCTCTCCACAACCCCCATCCTTTGAACTATACACCTCAGCTGTCTAGAAGCCTTCTCTATTAGGTCTATTCTCATTGTGCTCTCCATGACCCCTTGCTCTCATTCTCTATTTTGGGCTGGAAAACTGGCCAGAGGAGTCAAGCAATCCAAACATCTTCTCAGTGTTGAAGTGGTACTTGAAGGCTTCAAACCCGGCAAATGGAGAGATTGGCTTTTGATGAAATATAGATTTGGCTGTTAGAGGCTTGGTGCCTGCAGATAAACCTTCTTCAGGCTGTGAAAGCTGTGAAAACAGTGTTAATGTACACATAGGAATATGTAAAGTTTAAAGTGTACCTGCAAGCTCCTGGCAGGAATTGGCAACATCACCATCTGATTGAGACATGGCATGTCAGACTGTTCTAGTAGCCTTTTTGTGACAGCAACTGAATTAAGGTCTGCAAACTGAATATCTGTTTCAATATTATAGCCAGAGTTCTGATGTGGTAGTGAAAGCAAAGGAGCCAGCTCTTTCTGCGCTCTCACTTGATGAGAGGTTATAGCTATGCTGGATCCACATTGAGGCAAACTCATGTCTGGCAATGCAGGTAAGGTTGCAGGTGTGGGAGATATAGGCCTGTTTGTTGACTGCATTGCTTCTGCATGGACTAGAACACCTTGACCATGTGCAACCTGCAGATGCATAAGCATATCTTTTTGCATGCTCTGCATTCTGCATCCTACATAGCATATATTAGCCTATGAGTGCAACTGTAGCTTGCTGGTAGATTAAATAGTAATTTTAGTTTGAACATACCTACAACAGGGCAGCAAAGATTTAAGGCAGCCAAATGGTATTCATACAGATGTGTGTACAGCTGCTCTTTGTTTTGTATATTGGTAGTCTGGCATTGAGGCCAAAAGCATGTAATGAAAATCTGATCAAGTTAAAATTAGGAATATAAATTAATAGCTTATATTACCTGCTGTGTCACAGCATTGCAGTGATTGCTTGTATGCTAGTGTTATAAAGACAGTGTTAGCAAACCAATACTATGTGTAGCAGATGGAAAAGGAAAGAATCTCATAAGAGAAAAAAATGCGCACAAAACATGCACACTCACTTTTGCCAAAGTGTGCCAGCAGTTCAGTTTCATATTACACTTTGGCCACATGCAAAGATGCTGCTGAAGAGTTTTTTGAGCAATCTCAAAAGCATGCTGGATAGTAGTGAATGTTGACATGTGTGAGGTGGTTGGCATGAGATCTCCGACTACAAGTCAGCAAGCAAATCTTAAAAAGGCAGGAAGTGCTGCCATCAAAGACCCCAGATACTTATTGCCCTTATTTAAATTGTTCGGTATGGTTAACACTTTAAACAGTGTGGGCAAGATCTGCTAAAATAGCATAGACTAATAATACAGATACACTAATTTGAGATAGTGTGCACCATGACTTGCTACCAAGATTTCCAGCAAAGCACCAAATGAATCAATTAAAAGTTGTAGACAAAGTGAGCAGTGTGTAAACCTGCCCTGATGTGGGGTGGTAAATTATTCAAACTATTCAACAAAGCAGAAACAAGCTTTGTTCATCTGAGACTTGTACTTAGTATATAGGAGATCTAGAAAAAGAGACACACAACAGAGAACTGTTGAAGTGCATAGGCTCCACTCTCCGTGTGCCAGACTTCAGCGCTGTAAGGTGGCTGGGGTCTGCATTCCTAGTATGGATACTAATAGAGTACTTCATGTATATAAGACTTTCAGTGCCCACTAGGCCTATCAGACCTCTCTCTACTTGCGGTCCCCACTTGCTAGCACTCAGAACCAACCTACAGGTGAGTACACTACACACATCCCCTATGGTGATCTCAATGCTTGAGCACAAAGCTCACGTCAGGTTATAAGCCCCGCAATGAGGTTGCAGCACCTTTAGCGGCAGTAGCAACCTGCTTGCAAGTGCTCACCTGTACCCTGTCACTGCCACTGTGTACAACAGCTGCGCTATGCACACCATCAGCACCAGGCATGTTAGATATGGGCTGAGGAGCTCCATTGAGCTCCTTCCTGGTGAAGCCTTGACAGTACACTTACTGATCAATGTGCTCCCTACAGACAACATGTCCAATGCACTCTTCACAGCTGTCCCTGTCCTCGATGGATCCAACTGGGTCCTGTTTGAGAATGTGATGACTTCGTGCCTCATGAGCCAAGGCCAGGCCAGGCAGCTCACTTTGGTAGCGCCTGCTATTCCTGCCGCAACGGCAGGTAACACGGCCACTGTTGAAAAGGCGATTGAGAAGCAGGAGGCATGACTCGAAAGAGATGAGAAGGCTATTGGTAACATTAACCTTCACCTCTCAAAGCCCATCCTGCAGAATGTGTCTGACCAGATGACGGCGAAGGGTCTTTGGGAAGAGTTGCAGGCCATGTACTCAATGACGATGTTAGGCACTGCCTTCATCGAATTCAAGGGCCTCCTTGATCCCATGATCCCATGATGAGGACCCGGTGACCCCTCGGTCTCAGTCACAGCCAGACTGACTTGTGACTAGTCACTGACCGGCACAACGCTGACTGGGTGTGCATGCGCAGTAAGGGAACGGGTGCTCGACGGGCGCTTGCGCGAACGGAGGTGCACGGGGCCCCGAAGCGTGCGATGACGATGGCGGTCGCTTGAGGTGCAGCAACTTTTACGCATAGCGTGCAGATATGCAATGGAGTTTCGATACTTGTTCGAGAGTGCGAAAAGCGGTGGATAAGGAGGTAATGAGGCCGAGGCACAGAATCGAACCCCGCGAAGATACCGCGGGCGCGACGCGCGACGCGCAAAGGGCGCCTTGGGAACAGAGCTTCCTGCTCACGACTCACCCTTCACTCATGTTATGCAGAGATACAGCTAGAGACCTAATTTATACATGTACGTGTTTTAGCTGTTGTGAAGTCTGAAGGGTATCTGTGCATGCAAGCCATCTTGAGCATGAGCTATAAATGGACAAGGGGTCAGGCGGGGTTGGAGTAGTTGTAACAGAGAACACACCATTGAATCCATCACATACGCGCACTCTTGCAATAGTTGGGTCGTGATCACTTGCTCGCTCGCCTAAGGACGCTGCCCAAGTGTTGACATGGATGTGCTCAACTTCAGCGCCCTTGCGTGCGACACCGGCGGAAATGAAGACCTGATCGATCTCCTGCATGTGCTGTTCATACACATACGTGTATCGCTCAACAGGTTCGACTCCCGCGACCTCGTTAATGTTGTAAAGCACTCCGTCGAAAGCGCTGAACACAGAGCGAGTTTCTGCAAACTCGTTCATGTCGCCGGCAGCGACAATGCTGGCGTTGGCGTCGAGCGCAAGGATCGAATTGACAAAGTTCTGTCAGTGAAACGTTAACATATTCCTGAATGGCATATACATGTGCAGGATGCGTACCGCAGTAACGTTCACCTGGAGTGCACGGCGATCGCTATGACCGTTGACCGGCGGTCGCGCATCACCGTGCGCAGAGGACGAGTCACGCTTCGAGCTAAAATGCACGTTGATGGTGTAGAAGCGATCACCCGCTACGGTTTGCCAGGCAGCGGCAAGAGATTTGCGCGTCTCCTCCCATGCCAGGCTCGATGGCTCAATGCGACCTGGGTTCAGACTGGGAGTAGCGGTTGGGTTTCAGTGACCCCCGCGGGGATGATATGCGCTTACCTCAGGGACAGGCGACCGCTGGAATCTTTGATCACCTGAGTCGAGGTCGTTGCGTTGCCGATGGGTGATCCCGGCACGAGCGCGACCTTCTCGGGGCGCCATCTGCTTTGAGTCAGATTTATATTGGCGGGAGTAGATAAGTTGAACACTCACAAGTATGCGACGCGAATATTACTCCCGGGCTTGCCACCATCCATATTATCCACTGGTGGTATATTGACGAACTCGTACTTAACACCCTCGCTAGCGTGCGCGATAGCCTTCACGAGAGCGGTCAGGGTCTTGTTCGCACTGACAACGCCGTTGTCCGCCGCACCAGAGTCGTCAGAGATCTCCTGAACAAACATGATGTCGGGGGAGTGCAAGTAATTCGCGATATGGTCCGCTATCTTGGGGATATGGTGAGAGCGAGGAGTCATGTTCTCTACCTGTCCAAGTCATCAGCGGTGAGATAAAACATGAGATCTACAAGAAAGAGAACGCACGTTGTAGTCACCAATCGTGAGTTGACAAGGGTCGTCGCTCAAGCTAATTGGTGCAGGCTGAGGCTCGTCGTCCGGCACAGAGACTACTTCCGGCGCAGTGAGGGGCAGTATGGAGTAGAAGCCGAACTTCAAAAAGCAGCTGTGTCGGACAACCAACCGCATTGAACTGAGGCAGAAGTCATACCTGATATGCCAATACACCGGTAATACTAGATAGGTTCATGCCTACCATCGTTCGTGGATTCTTTGTGCCGTCGATGGATTTGCCGATGAGGATTGCCTCAGAATGTGCCACGGGCTTTCCGTCTGAGCCTGCGAGATGTAGCATATAGTCAGGGAAGATGGTGATGGTGCGCTGCAGGAGTGAGTGCTCACCGAGCATAAGGCTCAAACCACCTCGCGCGTTCTTGCCAGAGACAGGCCAGCCACCGTGCACCCAAAACGAGCCATACATATCTGGGAAGTTCAGCGCCGTGGGGTCCTCAATGGTGACGAGCCGTCCTTCAAGGGACTCCCAGAAGTCAAGTCCATAGTCCTCAGGTTCTAACGTCCTGTTCTCCGCCTCAAGCAGTGTGACATTGTTCGGCACGGATAACCAGCCATCTATGCCCATATCAAATGCAGACAGAGGAGCGATAGGAGGGATGCGGTCCTTGCCTAGGACGACGGGTTCGATGGCGTGCCCAGACGAAAGAACGTGTATATTCGTTGGACGCTCCAACTCTGTCAAAAGGAGATCGTTTGGTCGGTATCGTGCTCTATACTCTGCTACGCGTCCAGAAACGGAGATGAGGTCACCAGGGTTGACAGAGCGGCCGATATTCACGCCGTACACGCGCAAGCCGTTGGAGACTCGCGGGTCGTCTGAGGGCTCGCCAACAATCCAGAGGCCATACTTGTCCTATACACGACATGAGTATTGAGGGGAGCAGGAACGATAGGGGATGCACACCTTGGCTACCACGACCCCTCTAACATCATCAACGAACTGGCCAACTAGTGGAGACTGGTACGAGGAGCCTTGGATCTCTCCAATGCTTACAGCACATGCGGCCGCTGTCCACAGTGAGAGCACGAATGAAATGTTCGAACGCATATGAGAGCAGCGCTAAATGAGGCGTTGTAGAGACGAGTGTACGCTTTAGCTCGGAGCGACGACGTCGCGGGACAAAGAGCTGGCCGCGCGGGACATCCTGAATTGACAATATTGACATGCGGGATGCGCGCAAGCGCCAGGAGGTAACCGTACGTCGTTGGGCGTCAACATCATAGCCCCCTTGCCTCAGACCACCACTCACCACCGCGCAATGGAAGACGGCGAGATACGAGAGGAGTCAGAGGACGCTCTAGGCACGACATATCACCCTGCGCTCGAGTGGCAGGGCGACGCACCCTTCAATGACGTTGTATGGACTCAAGCGCCCTTCGCTGGGCCGTCAGCCGCAGCGTATGCACCCTCCACCCTGGGGAACACCAGTCAGGATTAACCTGTCCGTAACGGTCGCTATGATACATGTTAACTGACTCTCACTTGTTTTTTGGCGGTGCCTTGCAGGTCGGCTATCGTTGCGGCTCATCCGCATGCTGCCCACTACGCCCGAGCGACTGAAGGTCGTACACACGATCATGTCGCGCTCCCAGACACTCGCTATCATCGATGGCTACACTCAGGTACAGTTCGGGAGAGATGCTGCACCACCCGGCATGGATGTGCCGAGGATACGACTCAAGGAGATGGAGGTGTCGAAACTGCACGCGACTGTGTACTTTGATGAAGAGAAGAAGCAGTGGGCCGTCGTCGATATGGGCTCCAAGCATGGAACGTATCTTCGCCCGAGACAATCTGTCGCAGCCGCGCCTGCACCAGGTGCATCACCGGGCGGAACAGATCCACGAGGCCAACGTCTGTCTGGGCCGCGAGTATCCAGCATGCCTCGCGCCCTGAAGCACCTAGACGAACTCTCACTCGGAACCACAGCATTCATCGTACACATCCATGAAGACCAGCGACCGTGCGAGTCTTGCTCCTCTAAAGGCGGCGACGAGATTCCACTATTCTACGTATCGAAGGCGGCTCAGGACCAGGAGCCCGCTAAGAAGCGGAAACGCGAAGCGACCGGGCCTCTTCCGCCATCGGATGCAAAGAAATCGCTCCACATACTCAAGAAGACGATGCTATCGAGACACAGTGCGCCATCTACACCCAGTCCAAGGCAATCCGAAGGGTCCCACGGATATACGGATCGCAGCGCGCGCAGACGAGCCCTTCACTCCAGTATTCCAGATGCGCCAGGTGTTCCACCAAGAACAGCTGCGTCATCGGTACCTCCTTCTCGCCCTGTAACACCACCACCTCCGGAGCCTGTCTCGGCTCCACCCGCGCCGCTATCTAGCACGAATATCGGCCATCGGTTGCTGATGAAGCAGGGCTGGTCTCCCGGCACGACTCTTGGGCAGGATTCTGCAGGCTTGGAGCGTGGGACTACTGCGCTCGCAGAACCTATTCAGGTCAACGTACGGCCGACCAGATCGGGGCTTGGTGTTCCTGACCACGCGCTGCCTGATTTGCAGTCCCAGCCGAACACGTCCTGGAAAGAAGAGGGGAAGCAACGGCGATGGGCAGATTTGCAGTCTGGATAACGAGGTGAGTATACTAGGCCCGCTACCCTCACTCTGAACGCTCACCGCGGCGTCTCAGGATCCATATGATCAGTATCCTTGTATCAGCTATCATTCCATGGCGTCATTCCATTTGACCAAGCTCCCGTCGCCATCGGTGTTGGTACCTGCCCCGTTGTTCTTGACACCGCGATCTTGTTCGCATCCTTTTTGTTTGGGCTTTCTCTTCGCGGTCGAGTCGGACAACTCGCCGACAAATGGAGCACGAGGGACTGGGGATGCGGTGCTGTCGCGACGCGACGTGCTGGGGCGGGAAGAGCGCGGAGGGCGAATTCGAACATTCCTCGTGTCGTCCATCCTGTGCAACATATATGAAAGCGTCTATCATACCGCGCCTTTTACGGCTGGTTCCGCTCCCGCATCATGAGGGAAGTACGCACGTAGTTGTACACTGGGTCATGGTCTGGGGATCTCTGTGTTGAGGCTGGCAGAGGACGAAGGAGAGTCGTCGAGGCTCAAGCCAACATTCTGCCGCCGGATGCGGGGGCCGGGGTCAAAGGGGACGGAAGAGGATGATTGGCGCCTGCGGAGGCTGACGCGCCCGCGATCGCGATTCGCGGGCGCGTCGTTTGTACGTATTTACTGTTTCACGTGGCGGCTGGGAACTCAAGTTGGGCAAGTTGGACTTGAACCAGCCCCGTCTCTGTGGCTGTCTTCAACGTCTTTGCCAGCCTTGAGCCTGTAAAACATTTTCTTTCTTTCTCCTTCCAGCGTTGGCAACCTCTTTCTTCTTCTCCGAACATCCCGCATCTCTCTCGCGCTTTCTCCCTTCCGCCACCGTGCAATCTCTACTCGCCCACCGACGGCACAGACGACTTCATTTCGTTCAAGTAGATATCTTTCAAGATGAACACGACCACCCACGCCAACAACAGAGTACGTGTAGCTTTTTTCTCTCTACTCCGCTCTCCTGCCACGCCGCGAAACCTCGCCTAACATTCCCAACAGCTCCCCTTGCGAAACCGAACCGGCCCCGCACGCCCAAAAATGGGCGACGAGAACGCAGCTGGTAGACATGTACGCAAACCCAGCATAACCACCGGCGCAGTCGCCGCCTCACATTCATTATCGAACGTCGCTACCCTCAAGGCTGGAATTCAACGTTCAGCGCTTGGCGAGGTCACCAAGACCGCGGTCAACCTCAAGGTTCGTTTCCCCTTTCGCATTATGTAGTCCTACTGTACAGTTTGGGATGTGGTAAGTGCGATGACATAGTGCTGAACACGATTTGCGTGCCCAGGAAACTGCTCCGAAACTCACTGGCAAGGACAAGGACGCCACCGAAGTTGGTATCAAGCGCGGCCGCTCCTCGTCTCTGGCTGCCCCCACAGTTGTCCAGCGTCCCCCGTTGGGCCCAGCAAAAGCTTCTGCGGTGCAACCAACAGCTCCCGCTGCTGTCGAACCGCGCGCCACAATCGGTCTGCGCGTCCAGCGCCTCGTCGCACCTCTGCGCCCAAAGATCGTCGTACACCAAGATCCTGTTGTCGTTGCCGACGATGATGATGAGGAGGCCTTTGACGATATGGTGGTGGAACATGCCAAGTTGATCGAGCCGAGCGTCCTCGATTCCGAACCCGAGCAGAGCTCGAAGGAGGTCGAGGACCTGGTTCGAGTCCTAGATGACGAGAGCGAGCTCGTACACATCCAACAACAGACCCTTGAGCCGCACGCGCCGCGAGTATGGCCTGAGCTTGGTACAACGCGCAGACAACGTTACCAAACCGAGATCGAAAAGATCCGCGAAACCTTTGTCGACGAGGTCGACCCCGAGGACACCACGATGGTGTCCGAGTACGCCGATGAGATCTTCGAATACATGCAGGAGCTCGAGGTGTGTCGGTTCTCCAATTGTGTGTGTTCTTACGGCTAATGCTGGTCCAGGAGGACTGCATGCCGAACCCGGACTATATGGACGGCCAGAGCGAAATCAGCTGGTCGATGCGCCAAACGCTCGTAGATTGGCTACTCCAAGTACACCTACGCTATCACATGCTACCCGAGACCCTTTGGATAGCGGTTAACATCGTCGACCGCTTCCTGACCAAACGCGTCGTCTCCCTCCTCAAGTTGCAGCTCGTCGGCGTCACGGCGATGTTCGTCGCGGCCAAGTACGAGGAGATCATGGCCCCGTCGGTCGATGAGTTTGTGTATATGACCGAGAAGGGATACACGAAGGAGGAGATCCTCAAGGGCGAGCGTATCGTGCTGCAGACGCTTGAGTTCAAGATCAGCCAATACTGCTCACCCTACAGCTGGATGCGCAAGATCTCTAAGGCGGACGATTACGACCTCCAGACACGGACGCTGAGCAAGTTCCTGACCGAGGTGACGCTGCTCGATCACCGCTTCCTGCGGGTGAAGCCTAGCATGGTCGCGGCGATTGGGATGTACACGGCAAGGAAGATGCTGAATGGCGACTGGGTAAGTGCCTCCTTATGAACCCTCATCGGCGCTTTCGCAAGGCGCGTGAGAGTCTCTCACGCGCAGTCCCTTTGTCCTCCCGTTATGTGTGGCACGTGACTGACATGTTCATATTTTCACAGAACGAGAAGTTCGTGTACTACTCTGGGTTCACAGAAGAGCACCTACGACCCGGGCACGCGATGCTTATCCAGAAGCTTGCCGAGCTTGACTTCAACAAGATGTACGTCTGCAAGAAGTACGCGAACCGCAAGTTCCTCAAGGCATCGATCTACGCCATCGACTGGGCGCGCACCTACTTCGAGGAGGAGGGTCGGATGGACGGCATGGTGCTGCAAGAATAGACGCATCGCACACACACCACTCGGCATACAAGCATACCCATCTCGCATCGCATTTCCACGTCACTATCTCTGCACATCTAGTTCTCTCGCGATCTCTGTCTCGCTGTTCTCCCCACGCTCCACGTTTTCACGTCTGTCTCCTGCACGCCGAAATGATTCACGCATTTTTCTGACTATTCCATTCACCCATCTCGTCTCTCCTTCCCCTGTACGCCCACGTCGCTTTCCGCCCTGCTGTCGCGCATCCATGCTCGCCATCATGCCTCGAAAGCTACTGCCGCTACTGCTTCTCCTGTCTTCCAGCATGTCCTCCATGATCTGTCTCGCTCTTCTCTCTCTCTCTGTCTCTCCTCTCTCTTGCAATTGCTCGGACTCATGCCTCCATGCCTTGTTTTGTATGCCCGCTGTCCGAAGCTTGCCTCTGCCACACCCGTCGCCCTCTCTCTTGTCTCCCTCTTCACATATCTTCACACGCCTTCCTATCTTCTTGACACTCCTTTGGTTCCTGCGCTCGCTTGCCTCGATTTGTCTTCCACATTTACGCTAAGCTATTTGGCTATGTCGCTATCTGACTTCTTGGGCAGCTATATAGTCTACTTGTTTTTTTCTTCACCGCTTTCCACCTTTTTTGGTACTCGTTGTTTTGAAGTTCAAAGTTACTTGTAGTACATAGTTCTAGTTCTCCGGGCGACTCGTCTCTGGCACGTGGTATACGCTGCATCGATCTCTCTCTGTGTAGTATATCACCTGCAGGGAGTGGAGGGGAAGAGATATTCATTTTTGAATATAATAGAGCCGGATGACAGCTGTGGATGACGCCTCCGCGCCGAGGGACCATATGCTCTGCTATCTCGAGATAGGTGGATTACTCAGCCCGGTCGAGGCACACGAGAAAAAGGTTCCGCGTGCCCGTGGCCACCAATATCGGCGGATGCCAGAAACGGAAACCCTCCTTCGACGTCAAGCGACAAGCCGCTACGGAATATTGCTCAGCGGACACTCCGCAGCGAGGTTCTCGTCAGAGGTTTTTGCACACCCCAGTACACGTCGGTCACTCTGCGACACGGCGGGAGGAGTGCAGCAGAGTGCAGCTCGTTCCAGTCACCACATGCCCGTTGGCAAACGAGCGCAAGGTCCTTGACTCTCCGATCGGAATGATTGAAAAATGCAAGACTTGGGCTGCGCCACCCTCGTATCTTCTCTGTCTCACGCAGGCGTTTGCAAGCCCAGCACTTTCTGGCGCCATGGGTCGGATCCCCGTCGAGGCGCCGTTGCTCGGGTGCACACACCAACCGCAGCTCCAGCGTCCTCCAACGTCTCACAAGCACGGGAGAGCAGACACGATAAATAGCAATGACAGGGAACGTTGACGCGCTCAGCGCACAGGCTGTCTCTACGCTTCAGTCCCTCCAGCCATGGGCACGCTTGACGAGCGCGAGTACGACGACAAAGAGGCCGGTGCCGACTTGGAGAAGGTCGCCTCGAACACTTCGCAGGGATCCACGGAGCAGGGCACGGAGGTTAAGACGTTCAAACGCTCCAGGTACGTACGTGCTCTTCCCGCTCAAGTGGTGGCATCCGTTACGAAAGCACGTAACCTGGGCCTTGTTCTTCGTGAGGCTGTATCACAGGCGTCCATCGTCCTTGGATCTGCTCGTACTAAGCCCCGGGCCTCGGCGAGCTTGATAGTTCGTGCAACTTGATGACATACCTCGCCTTACGACTCGGGCCAGGCTCTCTGCTTTCGTTTTCTCTGCCGCCACAAGGGCAGCGCAGTCCAGAATGGTGGCTGATCATTGTATTCCAGATGGCTTCGCATGCCGTTCGTCCCGGTAAACCCGCCGCCGCCGAAGGCTTCCATAGACGACGCGGAATTCCTCCCGGAGACGACCGCAGGCTGGTTTAACATCGTCACCTTTGGATGGATCATGCCCCTGCTCGCGCTGGGCTACGCACGGCCCCTCGAGGCTTCGGACCTGTACAAGCTCCATGAAAACCGTTCTGCTGCCGTTATTGCCGAGAAGATTAACAAGTCGTTCGAGGCGCGCAGACAAAGAGCGGACGAGTACAATGCTCGGCTCGCGAGCGGCGAGGTCTCGCCGGGGTGGCGCAGGGTCTGGTGGGCCCTCCGCAGGAACAGAGCGGAGCGCGAACGTCAATGGCGAGAGAAGGACGGACGTAAGAAGCCGAGTCTCACACTGGCCATCAACGACAGTGTCAAGTTCTGGTTCTGGTCTGGTGGAGTCATGAAAGTCAGCGGTGATATCGCCAACATCTTGACTCCCTTGGTCGTAAAGGCTCTCATCAACTTTGCCACCGAGTCCTACACGTGAGTCTTCAGGGTACTCGCGTATCGCCAGGCTGACATCCGTCTCTGCACAGAGCATTCAACCAAGGTAGCACCGGGGACATACCTCCGATTGGCAAGGGCATCGGTCTCGCCTTCGTTCTTCTGGCGATGCAGCTCTTCTCCTCCCTCGGTCAGCACCACTTTTTCTACCGCAGCACCTCCACTGGCGTGCTTGTGCGCGGCGGCCTGATCACCGCCATCTACGACCGCTCTCTCCGCCTCAGCTCGCGCGCGCGGACCACCCTGACGAACGGAAAGCTGGTCAACCACATCTCGACCGACGTCTCGCGCATCGACTTCTGCTGCGGCTTCTTCCACCTCGCGTGGATCGCGCCGATCCAGATGGCCATCTGTCTCGCGCAGCTCCTCGTCAACCTGGGGCCGTCCGCGCTCGCGGGGTTCGCCTTCTTCGTGCTCTGCACGCCCATCCAGACACACGTCATGCGCCGGCTCATGGGCCTCCGCCAGAAGAGCATGACGTGGACGGACAAGCGCGCGAAGCTGCTGCAGGAGCTCCTCGGGGGCATGAAGATCATCAAGTTCTTTGCGTGGGAGATCCCGTACCTGAAGCGCATTGGCGAGTTCCGGATGAAGGAGCTCAAGTACATCCGGTCGCTGCTCATGATTCGCGCGGCGAACAACGCGGTCGCTATCTCGCTGCCGGTGCTCGCGTCCGTCATCTCCTTCGTGGTTTACTCGCTCTCTGGCCACACGCTGCAGCCTGCGAACGTTTTTGCTTCGCTTACGCTGTTCCAGCTCCTCAGGCTGCCACTGATGTTCTTACGTACGCCGTTTCCTTAGTGCCTTTGTCGCGCCCTGGGCTGACCATTACTTAGCCTTGTCATTCAGCGCCATCGCCGACGCTAAAAACGCTCTCGGCCGTCTGTATGGTGTCTTCGAGGCCGAGACGCTCACCGACACAAAAGTGCAGGACGCAGACATGGATGTCGCCGTCATGGTCGAGCACGGCGATTTTACCTGGGACGCCCCGCCTCCGGAACACGAGTCCAAGAAGAAGGGCAAGAAGGACAAGGCCGAGTCCAAGCCTGTCGATACGAGTGCCCAGCCCGAGAAGGTATTCTCGCTGAAGGACATTAACATGGAAATTCCTCAGGGCCAGCTCACCGCGATCGTTGGCCCCGTGGGCACGGGCAAGACGTCGCTGCTGGAGGCGCTCATCGGCGAGATGCGTCGCACCCACGGCGAAGTGCGCTTCAACGGCTCGGTCGCGTATTGCCCGCAGAGCGCATGGATCCAGAACGCGACGATCCGGGAGAACATCACGTTTGGACGGCCATTCGACGAGCGGAGGTACTGGAAGGCTGTGCGCGATGCGTGTCTGGAGACGGACATCGACATGATGCCCAACGGGGACCTGACTGAGGTCGGAGAGAGGGTATGGTTCTCTCTGGTTCTCCTGCATATATGCGCTTATCTCTCCGCAACTTAATCACAGGGCATCTCCCTCTCCGGTGGCCAGAAGCAGCGCATCAACATCTGCCGCGCGATCTACGTCGACGCGGACATCCAGATCTTCGACGACCCGCTCTCGGCGCTGGACGCGCACGTCGGCAAGTCCGTCTTCAACAACGTCTTCCTGAGCGCGATCGCGGGCAAGACGCGCATCCTCGTCACGCACGCGCTGCACTTTTTGCCGCAGGTTGACTACATCTACACCGTCGTCGACGGGCGCGTCGCCGAGCGCGGCACGTACGCGGAGCTCCTCGCGCGCGACAACGGCGCGTTCGCGCGGTTCGTGCGCGAGTTTGGCGCCAAGGAGGAGCAGGAGGAAAAGGAGGAGGAGGACGCGGTCGAGGAGGTCCGCCCGGGAGACGAGAAGAAGGGAAAGAAGAAAGGCACGAGCGGCGCGCCGCTCATGCAGGCTGAGGAACGCAACACCGGCGCCGTCAGCGGCTCTGTCTATAAGCAGTATCTGAAAGCGGGCAACGGCCAGATCTTCATCCCGCTGCTGATACTGTCTCTCGTGTTCTTGCAAGGTGCCCAGGTCATGTCGTCGTACTGGCTGGTGTACTGGCAGGAAGAGTACGTATACTCTCATTCTTGGTATCGTTCGTCTGTGCTCACCACGGGCTTTTGACAGGAAATGGCCACAGCCTCAAGGGTTCTATGTGAGTATATGCGTTAGGATTTGCTATGGTACCGGCTGACCCTGCTTCTAGATGGGCATATATGCTGGCCTTGGCGTGTCCCAAGCAATCGGCTTCTTCCTTATGGGTCTTATGTTCTCTTTCCTGACATACTACGCCTCGCGTGGACTGCACAGAGCTTCAATCGAGCGAGTCATGCACGCACCCATGTCCTTCTTTGAGACTACAGTATGTCCTTCCTTACATCCCACACCTTGTTGCTTGTCAGCTGCTGACTTTGCTCAACAGCCCCTCGGTCGCATCATGAACCGGTTCGCCAAGGACATTGATACAATCGACAACATGCTCGGCGACGCCCTCCGCATGTTCTTCTCGACGCTGAGCAACATCCTTGGCGCAGTCATTCTCATCGCGATCGTCCTCCCGTGGTTCCTCATTGCCGTGTGCAGCGTCTCGGTGCTCTACCTGTGGGCTGCAATGTTCTACCGCGCGAGTGCGAGAGAGCTGAAGCGTCTTGGTATGCCTTTTTTTTCATAACTCGAGTGTTGAAGTATGTGTTGAACATTCTCTTAGATGCGATTCTCCGGTCGTCGCTATATAGTCACTTCTCTGAATCGTTGTCTGGGTTGACCACGATCCGTGCCTACGGCGAGCAGGAGCGGTTCCTTCATGAGAATCAGAAGCGAGTCGACATTGAGAACCGCGCATACTGGCTGACGGTCACCAACCAAGTAAGCTTCTCACGCCCACCAGCTATCAGCAGTACTGACAACGCATTTTATAGCGTTGGCTGGGTATCCGTCTCGACTTCCTCGGGATTCTCCTTACCTTCGTCGTCTCCGTCCTCACTGTGGGGACGCGCTTCCATATCTCTCCCTCTCAGACGGGTGTCACGCTGTCGTACATCATCAGCGTACAGCAGGCCTTCGGCTGGCTCGTCCGACAGAGCGCAGAGGTTGAGAACGACATGAACAGCGTTGAGCGCATCATCCACTACGCGAACGAGCTTGAGCAAGAGCCCCCACACCTGCTCCCCGACGCGAAGCCGCCCGCACCATGGCCGTCCAAGGGTGCCGTCGAGATGAACCAGGTCGTGCTCAAGTACCGCCCCGAGCTGCCCGAAGTGCTGAGGGGACTGACGATGTCAGTCCGACCTGGCGAGAAGATCGGCATCGTCGGGCGCACGGGCGCCGGGAAGAGCTCAATCATGACGGCGCTGTACCGGTTGGTCGAGCTCACCTCGGGCTCGATCGTCATCGACGGCGTCGACATCTCAAAGGTCGGGCTCACAGACCTGCGCCGCGGACTTGCCATCATCCCGCAGGACCCTCTTCTCTGTCAGTACCACTTTAGTTCTCGCCACAGGATCTGTTACGCTGACCCCAAACACAAACAGTCTCTGGTACCCTCCGCAGCAACCTCGATCCGTTCGGCAACCACGACGACGCCCAGCTCTGGGACGCGCTGAAGCGGGCCTACCTCGTCGAGGACAGGCGCCTGCCGTCGATCGACCTGCCCGACGACGACGCGACGCTCGCTGGCCAGCGCACACCGGCCAGCCGGTTCACGCTCGACAGTCCCGTCGAGGACGAGGGCGGGAACCTCTCCGTCGGCCAGCGCTCCCTCGTCAGTCTGGCGCGGGCCTTGGTGCTGGGCTCGAAGATCTTGATATTGGACGAGGCGACGGCGTCGGTGGATTACGAGACGGACAAGAAGATCCAGGACACGATCGCCACGGAGTTCAGGGACCGGACGATCCTGTGCATTGCCCGTAAGTGTCTTCGCATCGCGCGGTTCTGTCTGCGTGAAGCTTAAAAGCGCGCCCTCCCTCTACGCTGCAGATCGTCTCCGAACCATCATCGGTTACGACAGGATTTGCGTCATGAATGCAGGCACCATCGCCGAATTCGACACGCCCGAAAACCTGTTCGGGAAGCCCGGTGGCATCTTCCACGGCATGTGCGAGCGGTCGTCCATCACCTTGGAAGACATCGTTTTCGCTGGCAAGGCCAACAGGCATCTGTAAACGCGCGTCCGCGGCGACGCAACTCGTCACGATTCGCCTCTTGCTCCGTTCTTTACGCTTCCAACGCCGTGACGACCGACATGTTTCATGGATTGCTAACGATGCCTGCACGTCACGCATACATACAACCGATAGCACGCGATAGATGAGATGTGTCCTCCTGGACTACAATCTGGAAAACAATCTATAATCTTGCATTCTTGGGCATGCCACGCATGGCCTGGCGAACGCCGAGGTCGGCGAGGACGTCTTCGGCTGGAATTAGCGCAATGTTTTAGTAGTAGAACACCCGAGTCTGGCGGCGAAGAAGTGTGTGTCGTACCTCCTCCGAGCAGACTGTCAAACGGCACTGCGCGATAAAACTGCGGAGCGGGCAGAGAGATCAATGTTCGCGCTGCGGGCCAGCTGGGTATCATACTAGACGACGCACGTGTTCGATCAGTCGGCCCATCCCACCCTGTGTCACCCCTCGGCCGCCGAACATCTGGACTGCGTCAACCGCGGACTGTTGGGCGCACCGGGTGCTGTACATCTTCAAGAACGCGAGGGGTCTGTGGGCGAAAGGTTAGACCTGGCAGGAAGAGCTGACGTCCGAGAGAAAAGGCCGTGGCGTACCCGGCTAGTTTGTTGGCTTGTTTGGCGTACGACTACGGAGAAGGCAGCTTTTAGTGAGGGAGAGAGAGAGAGAGGTCATGAGATGAAGCCGCGGGACATGCTTACCATGTTGCACATCTGGTAAGTGATGTTCTCGAGCCAATGTTGGACGCTCTCGGTACGTGCGATCATCTGAGCCATCTTGCTGCGGACGACCGCCAGAGAGGCTAGCGGCTTCCCAAAGGCTTTGCGCTGGTGTATCCACCTTCATCGCACACTAAATCAGTATCGGAGAGGGTCAAGCTTCCACAGAACTTACTTCATGCATGATTCGATCAGCAACCTCTGGCTCCGCGCAGTGGTGCAGCACATCACCCATCGCTCATGGTTGAAGTTACTGAGCCGTCGTGAGCAAGCAAGAACTCTGGCACGCACGATGCCAAAGACGGTGCGAACCTCAGCATGACGAAGATGCCTCCGCCTTCTTCGCCGAGGGTGTTCTCGACAGGCACCTTGACGTTGTCGAAGGTGATGAAGGCCGTCCCTGCAGTCGGGGAGTACGACGTCTTGATCGGCTTGGTCTCGACGCCCTCTTCGCGCTCGGCCAGAATGACGGTGAAGCCGTCCTGCAAATGCGGTGAGCACGCGAAGCCGTCATGCTGGAGTGGGTAGCCGTCACCTCTGTCTTGCAGCCGACCGTGAAACTGCGATGTGCGTGCGTCATCAGTCTCTGTATGCGTGTGTGAAGAAGAAACCCCTAGCTCACTAGTCCGCGAACCTGTCGAGACAATGGTCAGTTTTGGTATTTCTTCTCGAATGACAAGTCACGTCACACGCTCACATGCCGTTCGTGATCCACTTCTTGTGTCCGTTGATGATCCAATGCTTTCCATCCTCGGTCTTCGTCGCGGTCGTCTGCAGTCCGAAGACGTCGCTTCCAGCATGCGCTTCTGAAACCTACCCGTTTCGTAAGTCCCCGTAACGAAGATGAAGTTTGAAATGCGTGTACCGCCAGGCAGATGAATTTTTTCCCACTGAGAACCTCCGGCAGCACCCTCGCCTTCAGTTCTGGAGAGCCGAAATTGAGCACGGGCGGGAGACCTATCACGCAGCCGGCGTTGAGGCCATCTCCGTACCCTCGTGCGCCGCACCTGACGAATTCCTGGTTGAACACGAGCTGGCGGAAATTGGCTTAGCTGTGCAAGTCCCCCCAACAGGCGGGATAGCCGCATACCTCGTGGAAGTAATCAAACTGGACGAAAAGGGGGCTGAGCCGTGCTTTATTTCATCCGATAAGCTTTGGGGTGAGAAACTTGCCTCTTCTGGTGTCACTATGCCGTTCATGAGTGTCAGACCCTTCAGGTGCTTGCCTGATGAAATGTGAGTACACGTATTGCGCCGACTCTGTTTGTGCAGCCACCTGGTCCCATGCGCATTGCATGCACGTTCAGTTCACTGCGGTGCGCACTTAGCAGTGTGAAGGAAAGCAGTTCAATGTCACACACGTCATCCGGTCAATAACGCTCTGTGACGGTCGTTTGCCATCCAGTTCTCTTGCCTAGCGTTTCGAGAAGTGCATGAGACAGGCAAGAGTATGGCCGGTGGGTAAAACTAACCTGTGCGTCGGGATAGATGATCTCGTCTACGAGGGCCCTGGCTGCCTTTTGCAAGCGTCTATGGCTCTGCAACAGATGTCCACGTTCAGAAATGTCATCAGGACGGGTATAGGAGGTCTGACCTCGTTGAAATATGGACTGTGGTAGCCCTCTGCCAGCCACGAGGGTTCGGCATAGGGTACCTCGCTGTTCTCCCCGACTAGCTTGCCGTACATTTGAGGCTCTTCTCGATCTATGACACCAATCTGCAGCCGCTGGTACTGCGGACGCTCTAAGACCTCGTGGAGATGCAAGCCGTAGAAGGCATCAGTGGCGTCCTGACCGACTAGGGCAACCAGCGTCAGAAGGTATCGCCACGCAGATGAATGCAGTCATTGCAAACCTATTTCTTCGTCCAGAAGGGCGTGGGCACCGCCTGGGTGCAAATCCTTGAATCGAGTGACATTATAGACCTTGGAGTCTATGATTATCCACTAGAGCCTCGCAGTTCAGCCGACAACTTTGTAGCAGGTCAGAGAGCTAGCATACCAGGTCATGTGGAGTATTATGCTAGGTCAAAGATGATTCAGGAACAGCCCAGACACAGGAAGAAGACGAAGAAGAAAGACCTTGGCTACTTGTTCTCTGGTGAAGACCTTGAAACTGGGCGTCGCAGCCATACGACAATAATTATGCTAGCAGAGTGCTGCCGGTGCTGCCTGTGTTGCCAGATAGGCGTCAGTGTCGGGACCCTTGGCAAAGTGGATACTGGCCGGTGTCGAAGAGCGTTGATGGGAAAGCGCACCCAACACGGCATTCGGAACAACTGCCCGGGCCACGTGGCCGCCACAAAGCCAAGCCATAAACAGCATTTGTTACGGCGGCGGACCCGGCGATGTGTCTATCACCACTGTGCTTGCCCCGGACTCGGGCATGACTGAGACCTCTGCACTCGTGAGAGGAGATGGCACATGAGAATAGTGTGCCATTCTTGCATCACCATTGAATATTCTACACTCTGCCGCGGGCAAGCTGTTCATGTCATCCTTTCCCTGTAACGAATGATCGCTTGCTGAGACTTCTTGCACGCCGCCCATGTCACAACATTCCCAGGAAACCTTCTCAGATTACAAAGCGCTACAGCTCCCCTTCTAGCATCACCGTTCCCGATATATTGACATTGTTTTAGGCATCTCTCAGTCGAATGGTGTTTGTCCTGCAGTGTTCACCACACTAGCCTCCACTACTGACCAAGATGCCCGCTGAGACCTCCTCTCCACTTGCTACTTTTGCGCCCTCCGTGCCCATATCGTTTCCTCTCCGCGTCTTCGCGGCACTGCGAGCCCTCATCTGGGTCACCCTCATCATGGACAACCCGTTAAAATGGTGGTGCCAGCAGGGAAGGAGGAACGACCGGGCTGACATGGAAGGTGTGCACGCCCGCACCGTTTGCCCACTCACAGTGTCGACGTGATTGCAGGCCCACTGTACGTCCCCGGTGCCCCCGCCCGCATGCTGGAGCCAGGCAAGGCAGTCCTGGCGACGGTGGACGAGCTGAAGGGTGCGTGTCGCGCCTGCACCACCAACCGTCTACCCGTACCTCCTAACACACACACACACACACGTCTCGGCCCAGAATACACGCCGTTCCTGCTACAGGTGACGGTCCGCTCGCCGCACGGGGACCCGCTGCCGCACGCGACGATCGACCTGTGGCACGCGACGAGCGCGGGCGCGTACGCGTACCGCTCGTACGCGCTCCGCGGGCAGCTCACGACGGGCGCCGACGGCTCCGTCGAGGTCCTCACCGTCGCCCCGGGCGACTACGGCGGCGGGCTCGGCGTGCGCGCGGGCCACTTCCACATGAAGCTCCACGACGGCGCGCGCCGGTACGAGCGGCTCACGACGCAGCTCTACGTCTGCCGCGCCAACGACTTTGCGGCGGGCTCGCGCAAGGATACGTGCGTGCCCTTTTCTTTTGTCTCTCCCTGCCAGTGGTTTGAACTGACTGAGCCCGGTTCCCCTTCCTCCCCTCCCCAGCCTGAACTACCTCCGCAAGACCCGCCCGCAGAACATGCTCCGCGCGTGGTCTCTCCCGGAGAGCAACGGCGGCGAGTCGTACATCGAGCTCCCAGAGCTGCCTTCGGACGACATCGAGAGCCTGAAGCGCGTCGGGTGGTGGAACGCAAGGCTCGCCGAACAGGCGCCAGGCGCTGGAATCAAGGTCGTCGCCGGTGGGCGGACGGAATTCAAGCTGAACGAGAAGCCAGGGTGGCTTGGCTTCTGAGTGACTCGGTGGTCTAGAAACAACAAATTGAAATGACTCGCATTTATCAAACGATTTTGCTCATGGTTATACGTCGTTGGACTTTCGTGCCACTGGCTGATTCAAGCCGATATTGGAAAGTGCAAAGTCTGGAAAGCCAGAAACATAAGCCAGGGGTAATTTGAGTTGTATTGTACGCGCGCAAAAAAATTAATCTCAGCCTCGCTTCGCAGCGCTTAGGACCTCGAACATAGCCAAGTTAAAAGACGATACTCAAATATCTTCGAGTAAACACGGCCTATTCTATGAGTTTATAAATTAACCGGCAAAGAATTGTGACAGTGCTAGCCTTTGGACGTCGTCTGTAAAAATATAACGCGCGACGACTCAGGCGCAGGTGGGTAAAGCTATAGGACGTTAGAAAGACACGTTGCACGGAGGCCAGAAAGAAGTTGTTTACGGACAGTGTCATAGGGGAGTAACGAATGTGATGGCGGACGGGTATGCATAATGTTGCTCCAGCTAGATGGGGTTCCGTCCATCGTCAGAGGGAAGTGGCACCGACGGTATAATGATAAGTCTTAAGTAAATCAAAGCAGTGAACAAATGAATTTGGTGGGGTGTCTGGGTGCCACAATGCAGAGAGAGAGAGAACAATAGAGGAGGAAACCGAGTCAGGTGCAGCAAAGAGAAAGACAAGAGTAGATGCGAGGCGAAGAAAACACACAGTAGCGAAAGACCCAAGAGGCACATTCAAGCGACAGCGTATGCAATCATTAAGGGCGGCGTGAAGCGTTGGAGATGTTGGTCGTGATTCTCTTCAGCGTGTCCCGCTCCGAGGCAATGTGCTCGAGCAGCAGCGAGTCGAAGCGCTGGATCGACTCCCGCTGCGTCACCCTCCTCCCCTCTGCGTCGCCGAACGTCGCCGGTCTCCGCGTGGGCGTCAGGCGCGGTATCCTCGACGGTCCCGGAACAGGCGGCGAGTCTCTCAGCTCGCGACTGAGCGGCAGAGGCGGCAGGTTGGCGATGCCCTTGCCCTTCTTCCACGACCTCGAGGCTGCCGCGTTCCGGGGCGCGATGTACCCGATGGGAACCTTGCGATCGACGATGTCGAACGACATGACGGACGACGCGTCCTCCCTCGACGACTTGGGCGTGAGGTGCGGCGTCGAGTGGTTGCCGAGGCGCATCAAGGACGGCCGCGAGCTCTTTGCGCTGCGCGAGCTCGCGAAGGACGTCCGCGCCGACAACGGTTTGGGGTGTGTCTCGGTGAGGGCCTCCGGGGGCCCGGACGGAGATGGCGCCCGAGCCGGCCCGCCAGCCGGTGCGAGGCTCTCGGTGTCGCTCTCTTCGGACGTCTCCAGATCGTCCATGGCATTCGGGTGCGATTGTATCCTGTCAAAGAACGCAGTCGGTGACGCTGGCGCCGGCGCCGAATGGATAGAAGGGGTTATAAAGCCAGACGGGATCAGTAACGACAGACCAGACTGGCGACTGCGTCGCGCAGACAACGAGCGTGATGAAGAATAAAGTTGCGATGTAAATGTAGAAGGTGAAAGGCTGGGGTTGGCCTCGGACCCTGGCTCTTCCGCAGCAGTGTGCATAGGTTGAGACGAATGAGACGAGCGTCCCGAGGAAGTTGATGGCCGAGTGAAGACAGGCCTCGCTGCCGGTAAACGCGGTGGGGGAGGCAGTATCGTTGCGTCAAGAGACGAAGAAGGTCGGGGAGGTGGCGACGAGACGTCCATTCTCGACAACGTTGACGTGGGACGCGCTCCAATAGCACCAACGTAACTTCGGCGGGACAGCAGAGGTGAAGGGGCACGACAACTTCCAAACACTGCGCCTTCGAATGCAGATACGGTAGGGGAAGGGTGTTCATCATCTTCCATTGAAAGCCGGCCTATCGTCGGGATAGAGAGCGTCATAGACACTCTAGGTGCCTCCTCGAAGTCACCAGGTGTAACATACGACAAATCGTCATCATCTGTGCATAGAGTGTCTCGCATGCTGGTCGAAGGACGGATCTCCTGTGATGGCTCACCCTCAGACTTCTCCTCGAATCCCGGTACCGGTGGGGAAAACATCCCTAAGCGGTCCAAGCGGCTTTCAATAGATTCTTCCATGGATCCTCCCGAAAGTGCCGCCTTGTGCTTGTCATGCAAGGTGTCCAGCTCCGGTGACGAGATGGCCTTCCGAATGACACTGAGCGAGTCACGGTCTGACTCTGGGTGAGCACCTTTCGCAGGCTCGCCAACTGACGCTGAGAACTGTGGGTGCGAGAGGTGTTTGCGGAATGGTGGAGGAGCCAGAGGAAGCATGGCGGCTGGCGTCTCCACACGACCCGGCAGCTGCGAATTCCTCCACGACGAGCTCAACATATCCGGAGGTGCTGCTAAGGTACGTTGCACAGGGCTGGTGGACTGTAACCCTTGAAGCGCAGAGAGCGGCGACAATGCCCGTGCATCGTCCTTCTCGGCGCTGACGGCGGAAGGTTCCATTATCCGCTGACCTAGCAAGGGCACAATCCGGGAAGTCGGCGTGGCCTCAATTTCCTCAGCCTTGTCACTAGCCTCCGAGCGAAACGACGACGACGGACTTTGTACTCGTTGAGATTTCGGAGATACCGAAAAGCTCGACGTCTCAGGGCTGAGCGACAGGCTGACGGCCTCCTGGAGGATCGCCTTTCGCCACGACGACTCTTCTGAGGACATCGACCACATTCCGGGACTCGGTGGCAAACGGTCCGCAAGTAGGTCCGCGCCGAGCGACTCGCCTGGTCCCAGACCATGTAGCGCGGAGGCCTGAACTGGGAAGGGATAGTTAGCCGGCAGAGGCGGCAGATCAACAATGTCGGTAGGATCGACAACATCATGGAATAGATCTCTTTCATGCGCTGTCTCATGGCTCTTCGTTTTCCGGCTGTCCTCCTTGGTTTTGAGATCTCGCTCGGCTTGCTTCGCTGCCTCCAACAAATCGTCCATCTGCTCGCGAAGTACGACGACCCTGCTTGCTGGGGGATGCGCGGCAGATTGGGTTAACGGCGTCACGGGAGAAGAGTGAGCTTTCGGGCGAGGCACGTGTCCGGAAGCAGTCGTGGAGTCGGATGTTGTCCTTAGAATGGGGCCTTGGAGGTCATCAATAGCTGGCGGGCTCTGACATAGAGGTGTCGTCGGTTTCGATTTCGCTTTCCGAAAGAAGTCCAAGAAGCCAGAGCTGGGTGATCGTTTCTGCTCAGTGGGTAGCTTTGGCGGAACCAGCGACAGCGGGGACGGTTTCGAATGCGCAGGGGGTAGAAAGTAGCTATTATTAACGAGGAGCCGTAGTCGATACGAGACGTCGTCGACATCAAAGTCGGTGTGGCCGATAGCATCCAGACCAAAATCGTGACCTCGCTTTTTGGGTGATCGCGGACATGATGATTCAAAGTCAGAGTCGGTCGAGGTCGACTTGGGATAGAGAGACGTCGAGCTCGATATAACAGAGTCTCTAAAGTGCTGCGAGCGCGAGGGCCCCTGATGTACCTGGATGAAAGGCGATTCGAAAGGTCCAGTCGGAGTTCGAGGGCTTGCTATTGAAGACTCGTCAGATGACGCGGTTGCTGGGCGGAAAGCACTCCGTGGTAGACTCATGCCTCTTGCTCTTGGCTTTCCCTGGGATGCGTTAGGGCTTCGGAGCGCAACAAAAAAAAACCCAGAGGAGGACGTACTTTCGGTCCCGACCCGCTGTCTGACTTTGTTTGTTTGCTGTCGCGACGAGCTTCGCGTGGTACGTCCCGTATGTGCACAGTACTCCATGCACGTTCCCTCCTCGGCGACACTGGCAATACCTGCGCGCCCACGGTCGGTCTCGAGGCTGAGCTCCTTGATGACCCGGGTATACGCGTCGGTAATGGTGGTGGAATGCCAAATTGCAATACAACGGCGCTGAGGCTGTCATTGGCCTGATATGACCGGGCAATTATGTGATGAGGAAAAAAGCAATGGAAAGAGGAGTTACAGACACACCCCGCCGGTGCCCATGCGCACAGACTCTGCTGGCGGACCGACGCTCTTGCCCCGTCGCGGAGCCCCATCCTTGGTCAACGTCCGTGCCCGGGCGCGCGACTGACGCCTGAGACTTGCGCCGCTTTGTGTACTGGCATTACTAGATGTAGAGTTTGAACGAGTGAGGGCGGCGGGCAGGGCAGCGGACGGGACTGGGGACGACATAGACTGGGCCATCGAGGCCTTCAAGGTTGCATCGAACTTGGCCCGCGACGGCGACTCCCAACCAAGGACGTCTTCTCACCGGCGTCTACCCCCGGATTCCTATCAGAATTCGGGTTTGTCTCCGCCCGCCGCCTCCATGTGCGCCTTGCGCGCTTGTCCTCGTACAGCTCGCCGTAACAACCATGTCCAGTTCCCTCACGGACGCCCTCCGCTCCTGTGAGCACATCTGCGGTCACCGCGCCGTCTGCCAGCAGCTCATATACAATTCGTAGACATACCCCAGGGAGACGGTCTCCTGCCAAAATGGATGCTCCTCGTCGCGGTCACCGCCCTCTTCAACACGCTCCAGAACTTTGTGACCACAAAATTTACTCGTAGACTCTACAGCTCTACACCCAATGGTAAGCTTTGTATCAGCTCTGACCCTCAACGTGTGCTCACCCGTTTCCAGTCACTCCACTCCAGGCTCGCACGTTTGGGACCTGGACGCTCTTGAGCGCAGTCGTGCGAGCCTATGCTGCGTACAATATTCATGACAAAACGTACGTCGTTTTCCCTCGCTAGCGTGCGAAACACCACCAACACACGTCTTCTGCCCGACGTACAGTATATATGACATGGCCCTGCTGAGCTTCCTGATCGCGTTCGGGCACTTTGCCTCAGAGGTCCTCGTCTACCGTACCGCCAAATTGCCAGGGCCTGTCTTCAGCCCTGTCGTCGTTTCCTGTGCGTATCAGCTTTTCCCGCCCTGAAATTCTGTAGAAGTCACTGACGCTTTCCCACTACGCGTTCATTGCCCGTTCCGGCATCCCACGTTCGTGTTTTCGCTTCCGGCCAGCCCTGTCGCTTTTCTGGATGATCCGTCACTACGAGCACTATGTCAAGGCGTGAGACGAACACGAGCTGTGCATCCCCAGGCCATGAGCCGAGCTGCGTGCCCTGGGGTGCCGTGCACCATCTTCTGCTGTGTCAAGGTTTGACTGTCTCTGCGCTAATTCAAGGCGCCCTATTTGAGGCGTGTTAGTTGGTTTTCCGTATGTATCACTTACGTTACTTTATCTTCGGCGTTCTCCCGCGAAGCGCACAGCTCTGAATGGAAGATGCAATGGGACAGTGCGACTGTATATAACTAAGCCATACAGTGCTCATCGCATGCCAGTGACGACCGGCAATGTTTCCCTAATGTTCGTGCCTTGAGTGACGGGATATGCATTGGTTGACCCGGTTTCTGAAAATTGCATGTCCTAGGATGTGGTGCTTAACGCGTGAGTCGTCCACGATCTGCGGGCTGATCATACCAGTGTCGTGGGGCAGTGTCCTAGTATCGCAGAGTCTAACTCACCATTATTGCGGTCCTGGACAACTTTCCCGTAGCGAGAGGACCGCACCGGGAGAATAGAGGGACCCTAGACTGATAACTAGTACGGTACCGCAATGCGGCCATTTGGCGTCGTACATCTACGGCTACCCGAAACCTACAGTACTGGCCGTGAGTGCGCTTCTCGACTTCAGCATCCTAAATGCAGCGGATGCACGCTAGCGGAATGTAACATGTCACATTTAGCATTCTGTGCATCTGGTAGTACGCGCTTGAAAACCTATATATGGGCCGTATCCCATCGCCGAGCCCGGAGGACGCGCCACAACGGTGCTATAACAATATTGCAAGGTTTTCCGTGTGGCACGATCGCCCGCAAAGTCTGAGACATCTCTGACATTTAGGCATGCAGCTCGAGGCCACGGCTGGCAAAATAAGTCCCGAGACGCGTTGCTATGCGACTCACGCTCTATGGCAGTTGTGTAGCAAGCGGCTGCTTCGTGATCCGGGGCGCAAGTGGAGCGGCGCGGGGCTGGGCCGACCCGCTACTGTTCCCGTAATAATTTTACTACCGTAACATACTCATTCATTGCGTTGGGTTATTTGAGCTAGAATACTTGCACATCTGTATAAGCGAAGCCCCAGCCACAGTATTTCCGGACGATGTAACCTAACGCACACCCTTCAGGGCTGAAAGCATGAAGCATGAGCTTGAGGACACAAGTCGGGATTTCTGACCGAGAATCGAGGCCGTAGTCTTGTGCTCCCAGCGCTGAGCAGCTGTACTTCACAACCGCTCTTTAGACGACTGGCAATACAGCGGGAACAGTATTCGACCTTCGTTGCACAAATGGCGTAGTATCCAGCATCAGTGGCGAATTAAATTGATCAGGGTGGCACGATCCATGACCTGGTCACGTACATCGACACGATGCAGACTGAGCACACGGTAGCCCCAAGCTCCGTTCTCGTGGTTGCATAGGTCTGTTTCAGGGTGCCTCAGCTCACGAACATTTCCCGACATTCCTGCTTGACATATGGCGATGAGCTCTTACCGATCGAGGGTTGCGGATGCTGCACTATACAGCGGGACGTTTGCCGTCGCGGGCTGAGCGGCAGGTATTCGAACTCTTGGGAAGGTACTCACGGGGGTATGTGGCTGGGATGAAAGGCAAAAGAGGAGCTGACAACGATCTTTTCTGAGCATCGCGGATGGATGGGGTGAGACGTACATTAATATTAATGTGTCCGCGCCACTTCCCCAACCGCGCCCGACCTAATTTTAAGCCGACCCTCTTTGATTGCGAGATTGCGAAGCTGAGGCTAGCAAAAATTCTTATCCTCGGCAGACGCGAACTTCGCCCTTACTTTGCGAGCTGTTTAACGGAGACTGTTACTGACGACACTTTTGAAAGGTTCTTGTCCACGGACGGTAGAGTGTAAGCTGCATGTAGAACCTACTACGGGAACCGCCGCGGACATAATGAACATGCCGCTGACGACACGTACGACGAATCTCGCGCGACAGCCGGTGGGCGCATTTAGAAGCATCCTCGCGTCGTGCTAGAGCCGGCACGCGAATGATGATCCTTTCGCAATCGTTCCGGACGGCGCTTTGAATGGGCATTCACTCGCCCTAAAGGCAGAATACACGGGTCGGGCAGCAGTGTTGGTTGGTTAACGAACCAAGTAACCAGTTAAAGGTTGACTATTGTGACTAGTCATTGACTAGTTAATTAGTCACCCGCTAACTCTAACTAAACGGCTCTCCGGGTCCATCCACGTGACCTCCTGAGACGCACTGGGCGTTTACTAACCGAATGGCTTGCTGCGTCCTCGGCGACTCCTCGAGGTCTGCGCATGGACTCCGTCTTATAGTTTAAACAAACGCAACTTTTTTTTTTTACCCTCTTCGTCTCCTTTGCGCTGAGTGTGCCATGTCCGGGCGGAAACCAGGAAGAACTGGCTGGTGGAGGAGGCATTTCATCGACCATCCGCTTAAAGGCAAGCATGTCTCGCCTTCTCGACGACTCCTGCGTTCTGATTGGTCCTCGGCAGTCCCGACA